AACATGAATAAAAGAAAACCTTCTGCAAAGCACTGTTAAGTACTGTTTAAGTATTTTTCTGTTGCGTCTTAAGTAAATAATGAACAGTAGTAATAGCAAACAGGCTATTTGTCTACTCCTAATACCATTACATTAAAAATCAGGCAACTTGTTCCAGTGAGAATTAAATTGCACAGTTTGGAGTGTTCCAAGTCACGTTACCATAAAGGCTCAGGATTATAAGGCTAAATATGAGTTGTTTTCCTGATTGGACAAAATTTCAAGGTTGCAGTGAATTCACAGATTGGTGCAGTTTTAGTTTGATTTACTCACTGAAATCTCTCTCAACCAGGGGTCTCAAACTCAAATTGACCTGGGGCCACTGCTCGTATTGCCATTTAATTGGAGGGCCACCTTCAAGTATTACAAGAAAGGGCAATATTCTGAAAATATTTCTATTACTAACATTATCCTTTTCCCCATTTTTCACACATTTGCAGGCCCCCTTGACCTTTGCTTTTATTTTGGGCCAAACCGGGGCCAGCAGTTTGAGATTCGTGCTCTAAACAGTCTTCTAACTGTACTGTATATTTTTTCAGATGAGACAAGAGATGAAAATGATAAAAACATTGATATATGACAGCAATTAAGCTTTCTACAGTGCTTTGCAGACTTTCTTTGCCCCATATTTCGCCTCTCAGGCTACAAAGAAGCTACTGCAGCCTGTGAGGAGGACTCAGGGCTGGAAAAACTCTTCCAACTCATAGGCAGTAAAGGACAGTGGTGTGCTGTTTTCTGCATACATTATTTATTTTAAAGAATGAAGCCTCAATTAATGAAAAACAAATGTTTTTTCAATTGGCTTTGGTATATTAATACCACCGCAGTGAACATATCCTTTCTAATTTTATTAGAAAGCCTGATAACCAGTTTCATAACAATGTTTATTTGCTAGATTGATACAAATATAAATGCAGGAAACAGAATTTAGTTTCATTGACTTAATGTGTTCCCACCACTCGTGAAACCAAACTTACGCCCTTGAGTTTAATAACTTTATTGTCCAACAAATGAACACAACCAACAGTGACAACTCAAAGCTCACTGGTCTCATTAGCCATCCTCAGCCTCCCTATTCATCATCAGAAGGCATCAGAGCAGCCACAGAGGAACAGAGCTTTCATTGGCTCTTAATGACATTGACTGAAAATAATAAAATGATATTTAGAATATTATAATACATTATTTTTCCATAATATTACTGTTGGACAAAGTGTTATGCTCTTAATAAATAAATAAATACATACAAATGAAGAAAAACTAAAGTATATGTGGCCTATTAAGGTATCCAGTAGAGCAGTTTTAATTTCGTCAACATGCTCCCGCTCCTCATCTCTAATTAAAATGTAAAATTGTATCCGTCTTAGTTCCTTGTTCTTCCTCAGTACCCCTGAACACCTCTGTGAGATCCTCCTAATGATAATCTCCAGGTTTCATGCTTCCACCATCATTTTTCTTAACATTTCATTGGATGAAAACAAACATTATGCAAATGTTGAAGCTTAAAGTCTCAGATATGCTCCTCTTGCTCTCTACTTTGGCATTAAAACACACAAGGGGGGAGAGGGGAACAGGCCACACATTTTGATGTAATCATGAACTTAAGTATTATTTTTCCATTTAGATGGATAAGAATAAAGAAATACTTATAATACCCCCTGGTTATCTTTGAACCTGTAGACAAAGTTTGTGTGATTGTAATTTGTTGCTGTATTATATTGTATGATCTCTCTCAGATTCTTATAAACCATGAGGTGTTTGGGGAATATTGTGGTACAAGGACAACAGCTCTGGGTGCACTGGTGCATCCTACTTGTGTGGTATGCTTGGTCACTCAGGATGAGAATCATTGTCCACACACACACACAAACACACTGGCCTGTACATGCATTATAATGTCAGCTCATCCTCTGTAAAGCGGAGGCCCGTATGCCTCCAACAGTGCGCAGTATTTCCAACTGCACGCCTTCTGAAAGATCTTTTACCAAAACCATTCACCACATTCAAATCTGTGTTTAGCATGTGCGTGCGTGTTATTTGGGTGGTCTGGTGAAGTTGATTGAATTCCTGCTTTCTGCTAATTGGTGGCACCCCTTCTGCTGAAGATGTGTCTGATCCTTTGCGCTGTGAATTTGCGCACGAAGGCATGACATTTCAATGAGAGCTGTGAATTTGATCAAATGGAGCTTTGTGCGATGAAGCAACCGTATCTCTGGTGGGTATGTATGCACCACTGGGCAGGCATCTGTAAACATAAATCACATAAAATTAGTTGTTCGGTTCAATATCAAACTCTCTGTGATATTGTTTGATCTTTATGAGCCTTGTTGGTGCAACTCGAGCCTATGAGGCAATTAGTTTGTGAGACTCTGAGCAAGGGGAAACAGAGAGATCACATTTTAATTAAGATTTCACTTTAGCATTTTACCTTTAAAGAAATAACGGTTCTTGTTTGTCCATTTTTTGCTGCTGCTGAAGATAAAACACACTGTATGTTTGGACTAATATGATAAAATAGAGCATATTTATATACAGTATGACCTCTAGTGCAACATAGAGCAACGTGTGTTGTTTTATTCATTGCCAAACCATCATCTAACATATTTCTTTAAAGCCAACATTTGCCATCGACCTCAAGCAGCGAAAATATACAGGATTTATATAACTGAAATATTCTGTACATTTGCTCAACATCTCAGACATTAAAATGTTAGTCACTCTGTGAGAAGAAATGTCTCTGTCTGGGTAGAAAAACACTTCCATAATCATCATCTTTGACACAAATGCTAATCCCTCTGCCATGTTAGCCATCTGTGGCTGAAGTGGCGGGGCAGAAATTGCTGGAGGAAAATGGACACAAATAAAATGCTAATTCACCACGGGCTACAAGTGGCTCCCCTCCCTCTGCTCAGCTCGGGGGGCCTCTCGGTTCCCACACCACTTCCCTGTGTCTCTCCAAGGGAGCTGCTGGGATACCGGCGGCTGCTTCTGAGCCCGCAGCAGGGATGCAGCCCTCCCATTGGCCCGTCTTTGTTTGCCCCCATGCATGGTATTCATTGTATGATTTGAATATATGCAAATGTTGCAATGGTGCCCCGTCAAAAGGAAACTCCCACCACCACCACCGTGGCCCCCCCAACTCCAATCCCGTCTCTCTTCATTTTCCCCGCTCTTTTCCCTTTTTGTCTCTTTCCTAGCTGCTGCCTCCTCTGCAGTGTCGGGGGATAGCTATGGGAACCAGATCTGCTTTGTCACAGGGATTTATCTAACAGAGGAGTGAGACTCATGACTGTTAATTATCAAACATAGACATACAGTATATCACAAGGAAGAGAGAAAAATAGTCTGTAAAGGTGATTCACTGGTAACACTCAATTCTTCCACGTGAGCCCTCGTTAATGGATCACAATCAAACCAGATATCCTGGTCATAAGTGTCAGATACGGTGGAGCCAGACTTATGCATGTCTTTTTGTCAAACATGTAGCATGTGTCATGTGGCAAGCAAACACATTACATGTCTTCAGTGATAATATGAATTTTACCTATTGTATATATATTGTTGGTTTAAACTAGCAAGTTTCTACTGCTTAAAAAATGCAATAACCACAGTGCTGAAGGCTCATTTTTGTATTATTTCAAGACAAAATGTGTGTTTAGTTTTATAAAGGTCTCTTCCACAGCAGATATGTAGATTTGTTTTAGTAGGAGAAGCACAAGTGTTACTAATAACGTTAACGATAGCTCTGTTCTTGAATGAGACAGTGAATCTGCAGGCACAATACCAGGACTCTTCAACTGAAGCAGCTAAATGGAATTCAGCCATCATTCATTTGCTCATTTACACCTGTTCTTTTCCTATTGTGACACTTCAGAATGTCTTCAGTGAGAAAGGCCTGTTGAAACAGTAAATCATCCCGCAACAGAAACATTTCTGGAGTTATTCCCATCATTTTTTGATTTAAAAAGCCATGTTTTGTGCTGCAGGTACAGTCCTTCCTCTCTTATGGCCTACATCACAGTAACGGCCCAGTAGAACTGAGCTTGTGAATTTTTAAAATACATACACATACAACACTAAACACAGATGAAGCAGATG